ACACACACACACACACACACACACACACACACACACACACACACACAGCCTACTGGAGTGTAACCATGGAAACGGAGCGCCTGCCCAAAAGGGGTTGTGATGGAGGAAGCAGAAGAAAGGAAACTAGCAGCAGGAAGCAAATTCACCCCTATTCATCCACATGCAATACAGGAAATGATTAATCAATCTGTCACACAGACACTTTTTATCAATAGAGAATGTTAAATATGTAATAATCTTTGTATTAACATGTATACGTAGTGACTGTTCACCTTTACATACATACATACATACACATATACAACTCACGCGCTTAAAACACCTTTTTAAGCATTTATTCTCGAACTACAGAATAAATCGCTGAATGTACACATTAGAGATGCATTTGCCATTGTGGTTGGATTTGAAAGCATTCTCTAACATATGTGTGAGTATGAACCTGAGTCTGCTTTATAGCTTTTCTGACATACAGTCCCATAGAAGCCACTAACATATAAGGTGCTATACGTCTTACTCTCAGCAGTTCACAGCATACAGCCATGATAAAGTCGGATTTAAACAGCAACATGACCTATTTAATACAGCTTTATTAAATATTCAAGTGGACATTCAAGGTTCGGCAGCTTGGAAGAATACATCAATCCTCACTGTGACGAGGTCAAGGAAGTAGAGAGTACATCTCCAGGTCACTTCCCTGCGGCTGATCGACAGGCTTTTCTCCAGGAAACTGTGAAGCACTGGTGGTAACGCAGGTCGTGGCACATTTTGTCATGTGACCAGTTCATTAAGTAGATGATGGTGTAAACAATAGCTGTACGGATTCTATTACTGGTCTTTATTTTGTGATATAGAGATTTTTATCAATAAATAATATTTTTTATTAATTATGTCTACTTATACATAGTTATATTTCAGATTTTTTCAAATTGTTTTATATTGTTGTTGTTTATATATATATATGATGTTAGCATGTGTGTTGTTTATTCCAAGCAATGCAGCATAACTCCTGCTGTGATATCCGAACAAAAGTCTGGATTTACTCACTTGTACTTAAAGTATAAAAGATGGACACAATTTCACCTAAAAGCCACAACCACAGTCCTACAACTTTGCAAAGGTAATTTGAACCCAGTGAAGGGAAAAAAAACTGTGTTCCCTTTCCTCATTATCACTGCAGAGGTGCCCTTGAGCAAGACAATTAAGCGTCAGTGCTCCAGTGGGTCTGCTCTGTACCCAGCAGATCGTTAGAATGTGGAGGAGAGTGTAGTTGCAAAAGACTGTTCATGTTGATCAAAAGAATACAAAATGCCGAACAAAGCTGAACTCATATTGAAAAGAACTCAAATCTGGAATAAGTATTATCAAACTTAGCAATTACAGCCTTTTGATAAAATAATTTGAGCTATTATAATTGCTTGCAGTGGCGCTTCATGTGGGCCATAATGCTAGAATAATATTTTCAGATCCTCAGCCCACCTCCACATCTCTGCCTCGCTCTCTGTGAGCACTACAGGTGGAGGCGAGCGTCAGCGGTACAGAGCGCGTGTGGGCGACTGCGATCATCTTCACATGTGGGAATCCGTCACATGGCCGAATACAGAATGATGAGTGGGCAGTACAGTGATAGAAGGGGACAGGAAGGATGAGATTAAAATGCGAAGTCAGTCGGCAACCCCAGTCGAAACGTCAGTGACTGTTCTCGGTTATGACATGTGTCACACGAGACATCATCAGCATCTAACTCTGCCGCTGACTGGCCTGCTAAAAGCTCCCCTCCAACATCCCCTGAAGTTGATTATTCTGTAAATTCTTATACCTTATGCAAAATGCTGAGTTAAAGAAAATGCTTCGCCTAAAATGCCATGAAGCAGTGCTTTATGACATTGCTGCGCTGTGATCCAGAGCAGCTTAGAGCTGCAGGTAGGTGCTCAGTCTCTTGCTCTATCCCGGTCTGCTTCAGGAGTAGAACCAGGGATGTTTTCCGGCATCGCTAACTATTCCAGAGGGAGAAAAAAAACGTTTCTCCTGCCCTTCAAGCAGGCTCTGCACACTCCCGCAGAGCTCAGCCTGGGCAGCTTCTGGCCACCTCGTCAACCCTTAGTTAGATGTTGAAGCAGTTTCTAAATAATAGATGATCCCCCCCAAGAGCTGTCATTTCAATGTGCAGCAGGTAATCCACATGAACCGTCTCAAGTGTGCAGTGTGTCCTCACAGACAACTATATTACACAGTGTTGCTGCATCTTTCTTTTTCTCACCTCATTCAACATTACAACTCATTTTTAAAAAGGGACTGACGGATCCATCTAACATCAGTTAAGCTATACTGCAATTAAACCTTCATCACTTATCAGATCACGCTGCTGTAGATATCATGCTAATGATGTAATTTGAGGGCAATTTAATGGGAATGATGGATGATGAAGGAATGGGTGAATGCTAAAAGAGGGGGAATGAGAGCAGAGTTGTGGCTAAGTGAATGAAAAGTGAGGGAAAAAGGGAGGTGTTTGGGAAATGCTATGGATTGAGGGGCAAGATGGGGACGAAGGGAGGCCGGGGATGATGTTATGGCGGTGAAAGAGTGGGGAAGAGTGAAAGGACAGATGCAGAATATAAGGATGAAAGACAATGAAATGAAAGATAGAATCAGGACGAGTAAAATATACTGAGAAAATAAGGAATAAACAGTACACAGGGATACATAGGAATCCCTCAGGTGTGGACACATAAGCACGTACACAAAATGTGAGATGAGCTCGTACTAAATCACTTGAAATGTAAACCCCAGCACAACTTAAATACATTTTGAATTTGCATAGAAGGGAAATTAAAACTAGCGAGACTCTACAAACAGACTGCAGGCAAACTGTGTGCTAATCGTGTCTCAATTGCAATTCACTGGAGCAGTAAAGCCTCCTATCGATACTTTGCCCCCAAAATAATGAGGATCCCTCGTTCCCACTCAGCGGGACGCCTGCAGAGTCATCTCTGAAGTGAGCTCCAACAACAAAGACACGGAGAGAGAAGCCATGCAGACAGTGAGAGATGAGAGAGACACACAGGGCAGTGAGTGGATGCCTTCAGGTCTATAGTCAGCTTGCACTGTTAAAATGTTGGCTTCATCCCCAGACTGGCTTGAAAAATGTGGAAAAGGGAATAAATAACTTCCCTTCTGTCTTGTGCATTTTCACTGGTTAGCCGTTGATTTTGTAATATATTTTGAATCAAATTAGCATTAAATAAATTGTTGTTATTATGCGCAGTTATTGGCCATTAAGAAACAATGCGATTCACACACTTCTGATGTGTTTTTTCCACAGAATGCTGTCTACCCCAACCTTCACCCCAACCCTCTGTCTGTTTTCGTTTGAAAGAAATAAGCAAATGAACTAACTTTCCTCAAATGATAATACTTTTACTGGTACGGACTATGGGTACGGAGTACCTGACTGTACTTGCCTACTTTCACCCCTGATGGAAACCCCTTTTTATCAATCCCTACCGGCAGAGTAACTTCATTCATCCCTGTCAAAAGTAAGCCTGAAGGTCAACTGAATAAGGTTTATTAAATTCTATTAATATTTCTATTCATTCAGCTCTTTGTAGAAAATAAAATACCTTGACTGAAAGACACATTACACTAGACAACATACACCATCAACCAACTTGTACATGAGTGCATGCAAGCAGACGTGTGTGAGTGGCGGTACAACTTCCAGAACGTCCTCTTTCCTGGTTAACTGAAGTTTAAAAGACACGCTGGGGGGAATGCTGGAATGAGGAAAAATGAAATATGCCTCAGGGACTGACAAACAGGAACATCACTATCTCTATGACATAACAATAACTTGATGCTCACAAGGAAGGAACTTGAGTGTTTTTGCGTATAAGCCAACACAACTATTACTATATATAGTAACCACAACCTTCAGAAAAGGGTTTCCAAATCTCCCTTACCATTTGCAGAGGCCTCTTCCGAAGGTCCCTTTCAGTCACCAGCCTCTCTTGGTCGGTGACATAGAGTCCGCGCTGAGCCAGCGCCTGAATGACGGCATCGTGGCCCAGCAGGGGCTTCGGAGCGTCGCTCTTCAGGACGAGGCTGCCGGCCCGGCAGTAGAGGTCTGCGGACAGCAGGAGGCTGGTCACGGGAGGCTTCAGGTGTTCCTGCTCATACTGGTCTGTGTAGAAGGGGTCCTTTAGGTCTGCCGGGATGCTGTCTGTACGATGGAGGGGAGAAAGTGGGATTCGTGGTAAGAGACTGCACTAACTTCCATGGGAAGCCTAATTGAGAACACTGTGCGGCATACCGAGATATAAACTGGGGAATAACATAATTAATTCATGTTTTAATATATGAAAACAAAGCCCCTTTGTCATAACTTTCTCACATGAATTTAAATTCTGTAGCAAAACTATGGAATAAACAAGTGAGCTGAAGTACAGTGGTGGCAGCTTTACTCCAAACCTGCATCAGAGTTTGTCTTTTTTTTTTTTTGGTAAGTCCGCTTAATTTTTCATTGCCGTGCTTTGTTGGTGTTTTGGCGTCGATGTGTGTGTGGATAGACCTCGGCGTTGCTATAGCAACTGCAGGAGGAGAGGAACCCGATCGATGCATCTCGTCTGTATCTCTGCAGCTTCCAGCTCTCTGGGAACACCCCTCTCACTGCCGGCCTCATCAAAGAGAGAGCCTGCAAGTGTGTGTGTGTGTGTGTGTGTGTCCACTGCAAGGGGATAGTCCATAATTCAAAAACATTGCCTTTTTTTTTTTATTGCTTTTGTCTTGCACCTTTCTTGCCAGTGAAGCTTTTTTTATAAACCATTGCTTGAAAAGAGAAAGCTTCGAGTCTACTGTACAGAAAATATCAAACGTTCTTTTTCCAACAACAGATTGAACAAACAAAAAAATAATTATGATGAATTGTTTTCACATAAAAGAGGTGGGCACACACTCCAGATGCAGAGCTCATCACTGCGCCAGCAGCAGAATAGATGTAAATTCTGATAACAGCCTGATGTACACAGAGAGAGATGTGGCATGTGGGGACAGCTTTACATTCTCCCTCACCGCTGCCCATCCTCCAACACACACACACACACACACACACACACACACACACACACACACACAACTGTCCATGAACACACAGTTCACACAGCAGCAACTATCTGGGTTATATCCTTCTCCTTTAAGTACCGTTATTCATGTTATTGATTGCAAACAAAGAAATGAATCTTTTCTCTAGCACTCCCCCTTCATCCTCCACAGGGAGGTCAGAGGTCAGGCTGAGCTCCAGGGAAACTCGCCTGAAGCTGGTAGAATGCTCAGGAAATTTACAAATGCCATTTTATTTCATGTTATTTTTCACCACGCAGGCTTTTCTGAAGCCCCAACGGTGTCTTCCACTATTTGTTGGCCGTGGCTCACATTGTCACTGTGATGAATCTGCTCAGTTTAGAAGACAGGAACAAGTCCGGATACTCGTTAAGGGAACGTGGAGAGAATCAAACGTACTCACTTACATTTTACCCATCACTCTAATCACAGTGCATCTACTCTGAGCTCTGCTCATGAACCCGTGGTTGTCTCGCACATTAAACTCTGGTATCAGTTTGTGCTTCGTAGTATTTCCTGGCTCTATCTACTAGACTGTGTATGCTTGATGCGGCCCTGCGTTGGCGTAAAAGAGGCAGATGCATGTGAAGCATTGGGAGCAGCGTCGGCAGGGATCTGTGGATGAGCCCGCTCTCTCTCTCTCTCTCTCTCCTCCCTGCACTCTCCCTCACCCTCTCTCTGGAGAGAGCTGTATTTTTGGAATCAGCCCATTTCATTCAGCCCTGGTTGAAAATACACAAGAGGATCTGCAAGGAATCACATGTTTGCTGGGCTATTACAACACAGTGCAAAGGGATAATGTGCTCAGTGGCGACAGCAGAAGGATATCTTTGTCTGCACTGCTCAGACAAACAGAGCTGTATTGGTTATTTTAGAGCGGAATTAAGCAGATTTCACTTTAGTAACTACTGTAACGGGGATCAGAATGCACAATAAACTGAATGGTAAAGAACAGAACACAGAAGAAGAATCTAATTCTAGGCAGATTGTCTTGGGTTGATTTTAAATCTTACACTTTGCTGTTAGGAAGACAGATTCACTGAGCTACTGAGTCTCCCTGCTGTTTATTTCACTTTGTGTCATTATAGTGTGCAACTAGAACCCCGTGTTTGAGTCAGCTTGCGAATATAATCCACCAAAGGGGCCAAGCATCTGAAATATATTCTCATCAGGTGGGAAACCTGTTTTTGAATCAAGTGATTTTGTTTTGTCTGGGCAGACAAAATAAATGCTGCTATCAAAACATGAATAATCACAGATTGTTTCATAGCTCCCACTTACATGTGAACTGTGTAGAATCAAACAGTGGTTAACACAAGCACACTGACTGTACTGTATGTCTGAGGTCTCTCACAAGGTATAGCAACTGCAGGACTCAGCTTTAGACCTAAATCGTTTCCACTTCAGTGGAAGTGAATGGAGCAAGGCCTCATTTAAGGCCAAACTGCTGCTCATTGTATTGTATTTATAGTGACATGTTTATACATGTTCCAAATGATTTGATGCATCTCTCCAAACCAATGAAAGTGGCTGTTAAGCCAAAATGATGACTCCGATTCAGGTTAACAACAAACATGAAGTAGGATCAAATGTCTCAGTGTATGATGATGTGTCACATCAATGATGAGACACTCAACTAAGTTAGGCATACTGTGCTTAATGTGAAATTAGGTTTTGTAGCAGCAAGGTATATCTTACAAAACGCTCTAAATTGAATACAAAGAAAATGTCGATTAATAAGACCTAATAAAATTTGCTGATCTAAGCGACTTCTTATAATTTAATACTGGGTTGGGTTTTGGCCAGTGGCCATTGGCTATGCATCGTAGAAAACAAGATGTCAATCATACCAGTTCTCCCACATTAATGGCTCAGAAGAAAAGTTATGTTGTGCGTCACTGTTTACTTGTGTTACCTTATCAGCCCAGGCTCCGTCACCGAGCACATCACGATGTCATGTGCAGTGGGGTACTGCCCAGAGTTTGAAGAGCCTGCGGAATTATGCCTCCGAAGGCTAAGAATCCTCATTCTCCCTCAAATGTGTGTGTGTGTGTGTGTGTGTGTGTAGCATGCCACCAGTCCAAAGTCACAATAATATGAAGGGGATTGTGAGATCATGAGTTACTTTTACTGTGATTCCATGTTGTTGTAATTGCCACTGATGGACAACAGAGGGTGATAAGAGTTGTATTTACCCCAAAAACAACTTTGGTAATTTGATTATGTATAAAAGAGCACATCCACCCATCAATCCCAGGTCAAAATGACACAATATGGTTGTGGTTGTACCATCAAATACATTTTACATTTTCAATATTTTAAAAAGCTGCCAGTGAATGTGCATTATATTATACAGTAAGACTTCATAAAAGCCTATTTTGAATCATTCACATTATTTATTCTGACTGATTTCTCAGCATCAGTGCTTTGCAGTACAGTCTAACAAAACCAAAAGAAAAGGATATTCCTTCTCAAGTCAACAACCACAGCACTAAATTGGCTCCTTTGAATACATTTTGATCCCTCGGATGGTGATGACGTGTGAGGTGAGCCTCCTCTCTGTCTATGAGCCACACTAGCCAGATACTCACACTGAATTGCCATTTTGTTTTCACCGCACTGTTCAAAATGTAGGTGGCGATTACATTCCCTGCATTAGGTCTCAATTAAGTTTAATATCCATTTAACATATACTTGTGTTCACCAAGTTAGTTCATTTTCAAATAAATCCCTTCTGACTGCGTTTTCATTGCAAAACAGATTTTAAAGTACTGCTGATTTTTGTCCTATGATGATCAACACATCTTTTCATTTACCCCACAATCACTGTTAACAAGTACATCATTTGTGTGCTATAGAACCTGCTCACAATGCTTAATACAGATCTCATGAGATGCATCTCTTTCTAAATGTGTTCCCTAAAGGTGACATCATTTGGGACACCTTCCCACCTCCACGTTTCTACACTGAATAGGTATAATAATCACGACTCCCTTTCCATTCAGTAGGACTAGATATGTATTGATCACATGGGATCCAACACAGGAAACTGGTTTTTATCGCTCCCCTTGGGATGATATTTATTGCCTTTCCAATAGGCAATTCATTTAAGATGCTCAATGAGGCGATGCTGTTTGTGGGCCACACAGTTTGAACTCCGATGGAAAATCACTGTGCGATTTCTACAATGCTGCCTCGTGTAGTAATCAATGATGAGTCCACAGTGAGTCTATTTAGGCTCTGCAGTATAACGCTGTTGTTTGTTTTGAGGACTGTTTTTGGTGTCTTCACCTATGACAATGAACAACGGGTATATTGGCCATGCCAGCAGGTCATTAAATAAAATGCTGACAAACATGCATTGGGGGAAGAAAAACAACAAACTCTTCATGCAGCGTGCAGGTAATTCTATGGAGGTCCAGTAATGCACCTACCTGTCCCGTATGCTTTGGCCACCAGCCATGTGAGGCTGCAACAGATTTTGGCTCGGGAGAAGTCATAGTGCTCAAAGGACTTTATTGATGGAGCGACGAAGGTCTTCTTAACGTCCCTGACGTCTTGAACTTCGCCCATGTTTCTCCCCTTTATTGTATTCGTGAAGCCTATGAAGCAACTCAACGCGAAAGCATCCCACCACTCCGGAATGTGTTGGAAAACGAGCTGTAAATTAGGAGATGCAGTGTCTTTCCGCAGACAATTCACAAGTCCTTTCAGTCATAAAATGCTAGATTTGCTGCGGGTTTTGTCGTCTCGTTCAGACTCTTTTGACACAATGAGTCGCTAGTTTTGGCGTTTTTCATCCATACTGCTGTCTATCAGTTGAAGTGGGCTTCGTCAGACCAAGCTGGGAAGGTTTCCTCGGATTTCAGAGGTGAAACTGCTCTTCGGCTGGAATGGAAACTGAACTATTTCCATTGTTTGCGTTCTTTGGAAGCAGGCAGCTTCTCCCTTTCACGTCCATTTACTCTTGAATTGATAACCTATGTGTTTGTCTTTCTATCCCTTGGTGCCGCGGTGCGGTTTTCCTGCCGCACTGTGGCTCCCCAAGCCTAGCGCCTTTGTAGCGCAGTGCGCATGCGCGGAAGGTACCTTCTAGACTGTCAGGAATATTAGCATTTGGTTTAGGGGTATGTTGTTTTGGCCCTGTAGTGTATTGTATATTTCTACAATTAGTTCTAAGTGGTATATTATTGAACATCATGACGGTAGGCGTATTCAAATCTCGTCATGTAATATCATCATAGCACGTAACTGCACAGCTTATTTCAAATATTTAAATTTTCGATGAGCATTTGAATGTCACATGAAAAGAGGACAGCGTGCCCACGTACAATTTGCCAGAAAACAAGAAAAAGCTGAAATTAAACATGCCGTCGTAGGAGACTGATATACAACTAAAGTGTTTCATTGTTTTTCATTTTATTTGATTTAATCAAAACACGTAAATTGGACGGTCTGTTATAAAGGAGCCCAACGGCCCACATAAGGTAGAGCAAAAAATACGCTGCTGTTCTACGAACCACATTTCCCAGCGTGCAATAAGACATTAAACACGTCATAAGTCTGCGTCGGGAGATTGTTTTGAACTGTTCGAAGATAGCGCGTTGGAAGCTGTTCGAAGGAGGTATGTGTAACGTTAATGCTAATCATTTATATGAATCACTATGCTGTACAAGCCCAAGTCAGCCTTCCCACCATTTTGAGAAGTTGTTGTTTCTATCAAAACTATGACATCGAATTACTTGACACTAGCTTAATGTTTACATCTGTTTCTCTGGTGTTCACAGGTTAACGATCAAGATGTTTATGCCAAGAGCCCTGAAAGTGAAGAGACCTGTCCGGGTCTCAGGCCACACTTTGAGTAAGAAAAGCAAGATAGGTGAGGTGGAGAGAGAAGATCCAGGCGGGTCAGCAACACCTGTTCAGAAGGAGGATGCATGTGAAGACACCAAACCACAGGAGGAGGCAATACAAGCAGGTGGAGACTCTGCAGGTTTGACGGAGAGCTCAGTGCAAGAAGATGGACCTAACTCTGACTCAAATGATACTGATGATGAGGAGGAGGAGGAGGAGGAGGAACCTGTCAAATCATTCAAAAAGAGCCAGAGATGGCCAGAGCCAGGAGAGCCTGTCTGTGTAATGTGTGCTCGCTATGGGGAGTACATTTGTGACAGCACTGACAATGATGTTTGCAGTCTTGAGTGCAAAGCCAAACATCTGGCCCAAATGGGGATGGGGACTGGGGCAGATGTGTTTACCCGTAAGGACAAAGATGGAGACGAAAGGACTCGACCTCAACAGCCGGCAGTTGACACTGGTGGAGCGGGTGAAAGGGAGGCCGCCTACTCCTACAGGGACGATCTGTTCATATCGGGCCTAACGGATGAGCAGGTCCAGAGGATTAAACGGGAGCTGGGCATTGAAACCCAGGGGGGAGACGTCAGGAGACCCATCGTTGAGTTTGAACACTGTGGCTTCCCCGCCACGCTCGGTGGCAACCTGAAAAAGGCCGGCTACGAGACGCCAACTCCGGTCCAGATGCAGATGGTCCCTGTTGGCCTCAGTGGCAGGGACGTGATCGTCAGTGCTGACACGGGCTCAGGCAAGACGGTAGCTTTCCTGCTGCCAGTGGTAGTGAGGGCCATGGAGGTACAGTAACGCAACTAACAGCCTAATCTTTGAATGAATTTATTCTCAAGAGAAACAACTTGATATCATAATAATAAATGGTAGTATTTAACTATTCACACAACCTCTCTCGTATGGAGTCGATAACTTTTGCTTTGGGATTGCCTGCCGTAAGATGCTGTACATTTTCTTTCTTTATTTTTTAGAAACCAGCACACGGTGTCAGTGGCCCTGTGGCTCTCATCCTGACCCCCACCAGGGAGCTGGCCATTCAGATAGAGAGACAGGCCAAGGAGTTGGTGCTGGGCCTCCCCAACATGAGAACTGCACTGCTGGTGGGCGGCATGCCGCTTCCCCAACAACTCCACCGCCTCAAAAGCAGCATCAAAGTACAGTCTATGTTTTTATAGTCATTTCCTCCTCCAACAATCACGTTTGTTTTTCTGAGTCTTCAACTTTCCACAGCGTCGTGTTCTTCTATTATTCCCCTCTTTAGATTATCATAGCCACCCCTGGGCGACTCCTTGAGATCCTGAAGCAGAAGGCAGTGCAGCTGGACAAAGTCAAGGTTGTGGTGGTTGATGAGGTACGACATCACAAACTTTGTACACGTCCGGTTTGCTGACAGTCCAGCACTCAGGTTTCCAGCATTGAACAAACTTTAAAGGTGCTTAGTTAGAAAAGAATCTGATCATATCTTAAGTCACTTAATATCCCAAAACATGCTGTAAAATTGAGGGTTTCATCAACTTCATGACAATAGTTTTCCAAGTGTTCCGTTCTATGCTTTTAAGTGTGCAGAAATGGAGAAATGTATTTGTGATGTATCCTGTAGGTCGACACGATGTTGAAGATGGGCTTCCAGCAGCAGGTGCTGGAGGTTTTGGAGCAAATCCCAGAAGAACACCAAACTCTGCTGGTGTCGGCCACCATCCCAAAAGGGACGGAGGAGCTGGCTGCCCGATTGGTCCGTGACCCTGTCCGTATTGCTATTGGAGAGAAGAACCAGCCCTGTTCCAACGTGAGGCAGATCCTGCTATGGTTAGAGGAACCCTCCAAGAAGAAGAAGCTGTTTGAGATTCTCAATGTAGGTTGTAGACTTGAGGTTTTGATTCTGAACAATGTCTTGAAGAGGTATGTTAACAGTCTCCTTGAAGCTCACTTTCACTGCCAACTTAGGCTTTCTTTGAAAGGTCAGCAGTTTTCTTTGTTCTTGTGTAAAACAAAGATTAATTGTACTATGGGGAGCCAGAAAGTGGTGGGGAAAAACCACAGAAAGGGGGTAATTATCCAAATTGTAGTTTATAGTTATTCAGTCTCGATACGCACTGGCACCAGCTTGGTATTTTGTTAACTGCCTGTGTAAAGGTGGTGATCCCTCAAGCTCCAAGGGCCAGTCTTCCCACTACACCATATTTAGACAGCCATTTCTGCAGCCCTGGCCCCGATCTGGAGGAAATGGGTGGGCCTGAGCCATGGCCCCACTCCAGGAATCCCAGCAGTGGCTTGGACCATTTATACAAAGCAGGACAGGAAGTGTCTGCTGTAGTTAAGTCAGTGAAGAAGTGCTGTTAGACCATTGTGTGAGCTACGGGAGCTACTTCTCTGTGTAGCGGGGGTAGTTGTGATGGTGATTTTCTTTTTTTTTTAAGTACATGTATTTAGGCTGTGGAATGCTGTTCTTTGTCCAGGTGTGAATGGAAAGATATAAATTGGGACCAGATGGAAAATAGGAAAAGTTGTCACTTATCTGTTACAGTTTGTCAAGCTTGAACCTTTTTGGTTGCAGTAAACCCAAAATACAGCCAAACGGGTGAATGTGATCTTTTTGAGCATGTCAGACAGTGCAAGTGTCAACATGATAGCACACTATCACTATAGACATTACATCTATACACTATATACTGCTATTAGAAATAGTCAACATCTAGTCAACATCTGAGGAGCTCAATCTGTATATAGAGTTACTGAAATGTCTGAATGTGAAAATATAGAGCCGTGTAATAAAATCTTACACCGCTCCTTTGTTTTTCCCTTGCTGCCTTGCAGGACAGTAAGCTGTACCAGCCTCCAGTGGTGGTTTTCGTGGACTGTAAACTGGGGGCTGATCTACTGTGCGAGGCGGTCGTTAAGGTGACGGACCTTAAAACTGTGGCAATCCACTCTGACAAGACCCAGCGGGAACGCAACCGCATCCTCCGGGTGAGGCCAGCGGCAGCTAGAACACGCACTGTCAAGTGGATATATAGCAGTTGCTCCACAATAGCTTTTAGCTGGAGGCCACCGACACCTAGAGCTGAGGCTAAAGGCACTAAACGGGAAATAAATAAGTACAAGTTTCAGATGGATTCCTCACTACACTGCAGTGCATTTACTGTATGTTCTATTTCTGCTAATTTAAGCTATTCATACTCTGCAGTACAGTGAGAAAATATTTAACTTGCAACTTTAGTCCTGCAGCGTACATATTTTCTCCAGTATTTAAGTCCTGACCGTGCTAATGTTTATGTCACATTGGTTGGTGAAAATTAAGTAATTCATAATATTTGGGGTTTTGACAATGCTTAACACGACGGTGTAATATTTGCGCTGTGTCATCCTCAGGGTCTTCTGGATGGAGACTTTGAAGTGGTAATCAGTACAGGTGTGCTGGGCAGAGGATTGGACCTCGTCAACGTCAGACTGGTGGTTAACTTTGACATGCCAAACACAATGGATGAGTATGTCCATCAGGTTGGTAATAACACCCGGAGTAGAACAGTGGTGAAGTTCAGAGTGTGTGTGTGTGTGCTTTTTGTTTTGTTTGTTTTATTAAAGCGACATAAGACGACATCCTTCATCTCTTCCCATCCAGGTTGGCAGGGCGGGTCGACTGGGACACAGGGGAACAGCCATCACCTTTCTGAACAACAACAACAAACGTGTATTCATTGAGGTGGTGAAGCGGGTCAAGCCCACGGGGTCCATCCTGCCACCTCAGCTCCTTAATTCCCCCCACCTCCACGAGCAGCAGAGGAGGGAAAGACAAAGGGCCAAGCAATGGTCCGACGACACGCTGGTCACTAAGAACAACCTCTTGGACATCATAAGGAAACACGACCTTCGGAAGAAATAGTCTGTTCTTCCAATCATTCCTGCAATGGTGTTGTCTATTTATTTGGTAAAATGTTTATTGAAAAAAATAAATGAATTTGACATAATCTCAATAAATGGCCTAATGTAAGACATTTTTTATATAGTAGAAGTATCCTCTAATCCACACTCGGTCTTTCCTGCCACTGCAATGGTGTCTTAAAAAATTAAATAAAATGGCTTTTGAATTTTTGTTTTATATTATTTTTGAACAGAATATCTTGATTACATTTTCAACTTTTATATTGCACATATATACTTTGGTATTGATACTGATATTGCACATTGAATGAATGAGTAATTTGCCATGTTTTTATATGGTATGTGTGGTATTGAGCAAGCCACTGAATCCATCTGACCAAAACTTGTATTCGAGTGTAAAAGTTAAAGTTAATTCCTGACAAAAATATAGGGTTGAAAAAGCTCCAGAACTTATCTTGCAGTCTTCTCAACAAATAGATGTTAAGATATTTTTATTTAAACTATGGAGTGTACGTCACTTTTTTAAACGGCAGAATGCTAATTTTAGAACATGAGTAGCCCAATTTTTCCACTGAGATACAACTATACTGCCAGCTACAGTTTATATTGTCGCTACACAACATTATAACCGTGGTTATGCTGCCACCTAGCGTCAGCCTCGTGTAATGACATGTCGTGACAAAGAGGTGACGTAACTATAACTAGATTTCAGCCAATCAGCTGTCACTGGCGGAGACGATTTGAAATTGAAGCGGGCGAAAGCGACGACGGGACAATAACAAACAGGCAGCTCTGTTGACTGAACACATATCGGGTTTTCATTTATATTTTAACCAGCATGCTGAGCTGTCCTCGCGCATGTCTTACATGTTTTTCATAGTGTGCATTGTTGTAGCTAGTTAAAGCAACCGGAGTGAAATTGCCGTTAGCTAACCAGTAACGTTAACGTTTAAGCTCATTTGAACGTTTTTTTTTTCTTAACCGACCGCCATGTCGTTATTTAGTGTACAAGCGAGGAAGCATACAGCTTGTTATGAGCATCTAATGGCACCGCCAGCATCCAGGATACCGGGCAGAGAGCGCCTGGCGGAGCGGAAGGCGACGGACACGACGGTGAGCAAAAATGAGGACACATCCGAAGACTCTGCGTGTGAAGACAGCAGGAGGTCGTCCGATAAAAGCCGACATGTCAACAGGACGTTTGTCGTCCAGGCTCCCTGCCGCAGCCGACTCACTCTGCAGAGGAGGTCAAAGAGGAAGAGCGGCTCCGGAAGAGTGGACAAAACTATGGTGGGAAGCAGCCTGGAGACCACACCGGCTCCGGTGGAGAAGAGGCCGACTCTGCAGCGCAGGACCAGGACGACCTCGATGGATAAAAGTGCACACGGGCAGCGCGGGGTTAGCAGCACTGCCCTGCAGACGACGCCGAAAGTTCTCAGTGAACCAAACGGCAGGACAGCTAGTGTGTTCAGGTCGGTAAGTTTAAGAGAAACTGCCTGTAAGGGCAGAGCTGCTGCTTTGGAGACCCAGGGGAGGCTGGCGTGCAGCAAAACCCCCTCCTCTTCTTCCTCGTCGTCTTCCACGAGTAGGCAGCTAGAAGACCAGACCCAAACCTTTAAAACCCCCACCAGAAAGACCCCGTTTGAGAGAATCGCCGCCAAGAGAGACTTGTACGAGAGACTGGCGAGGAAAGACGCTCCCAAACCAGTGGCAGTCAAGTCTGCAAGTCTGACGAGGACCAAACCCCAAGCGGAGGACAAGACACCTGTCCCCGCTCCTCGGGTCTGCAAGGCGTCCGCAGTCAAGATGCACTTGAGCAAGACGTCCACCCCGAGTCAGAAGAGAGACGCGGCCCAGGCCAGGACCTCCACTCCTGCTCCAGCGTCCACCGAGCATCTCCTCCTGTCCCGGCCCAGCGAGGCTCTGAAGCTGCAGGATCCATTTAAGATGGAAAACAGCGCAGTGACCGTAGCGGTCCGTGTGCGTCCGTTCAATGCCAGGTGTGTAACGCAATGTTTGTCTTTACTGGCTGAGTCACGTGGTGATGTCTGTCAGCATCTAAAGAGTCCAGGGTCTCCAAAGGTTACTGCATAATTCAACTATAAATTATGGTGTAATCACACCCTGTGAGATAAAAGCAGGGAAAGAAACTATACACTGGACATGCAGAGACCTCAAAGAATGTGATTATTTATCTGAAACTTGTGATTTGTGTGTTTTGTAAATCTTAGGGAGAAGGCAGAGAAGGCACTGCAGGTCATCTTCATGGACGGTCAGGAGACCGCCGTCCAGCATCCGGTCTCCAAACAGAGCTACACCTTCAGCTTTGACTTCTCCTTCTGCTCGGTGGATGAGTGTGACTCCACCTTCGCCAGCCAGCAGACGGTGTACGAGACTCTGGCCAAACCTCTGTTGTTGAGGGCCTTCGAAGGGTTCAACACCTGCCTGTTTGCTTACGGACAAACGGGCTCTGGGAAGTCGTACACGTGAGTGTTTTTGGTTTATTACAGTCATTTCTTTGCCCTTAATTTGTTCTCTTGGTGAGTATTTAAAAATCTTTTATCAGTCAACCATCAATTTGATCTGTTTGAAATCATTGTTGTTTTAGCATGATGGGCTTTGGAGAAGAAGAAGGGGTGATCCCACGATTCTGTCAGGAGCTTTTTACGAGATTGGCATCCATGATAAATGAAGAGGTACGATCTCTCTTTAAAATGACTTATCCCTGATGCTTCTGACTTATTAGATGTTCTTTGAGCGTTTACATGAATTTTCTGGTTGCATAACTTCGGTTGTTATATTTCAGGTCAAGTGTCATGTAGAGATGAGCTATTTTGAAGTCTACAATGAGAAGATCCATGACCTGCTGGTGACCAGAGATGAGCCAAACCAGAGGACGATGCCCGTAAGTAGTTTGCAACTACTGGATAAGTTCATGGAGTTTACTCTTAATTCTCTATCAAGACGGCATGGAACACCTGATTAGCCCAGATTTTAGAGATGCACCCTCGCTCATTATGCTTAATGCATGCAATTTATTAAGGTCATTGGTAGGACTGACTAACCTGAAAATGTTGTACAGCCAAGATAAAACCGTTTTGCGTTTCTAGCTGAGGGTGAGGGAACATCCAGTCCATGGTCCGTATGTTGCTGACCTCTCTGCGTAAGAAACCTTTTGACTTTCCTTCACTATATTACTCTTCAATAAAGACCAGAAGAACATTCTCTACTGCTGTGATTTGCAGAGTTGCTCACTTTGGTATTTCTTCACAGGAATATTGTGAGCTCCTACGATGACATCCAGGTAGGTTCAAACTGCTGTCGAGGTATTTTCTTCTTTTTGATCCTCGCCAGCCTTTTAGTTAAAGTGCTTAAGCACAACTTTGAATGGGCGAGCAAGTGGTGGTTCAGTGCAGGCACACCACGGAGAGAAGTGCTGAGCATCAAAGATGTATCTAACGCATGGCTTAGAAAACAATAAATGCTGTTGATCCACTAGAGATCATAACTCACACTGTCCTTCTTCAGGGTTGGCTGGGGCTGGGCAACAAGCAGAGAGCCACAGCAGCTACAGGAATGAACGACAAGAGCTCCAGATCTCACTCCGTCTTCACCCTGACTATGACCCAGACTCAGGTAACGCGTCTCAACTCTACTTTATGTCACACATAATGTACATTGCCTAATAAATTCTGTAAATAAATCCACTGATTAACTTGGGCCGCCACGTGTTCTCTCGTTACACAACGTACCCGTTTGTTTGTACGTGCTTGTGTGCAGACTGAGTTTGTGGAGGGCGAGGAACACGACCACAGTATCATCAGCAGGATCAACCTGGTGGACCTGGCCGGCAGCGAGCGCTGTAGTTCAGCCCAGACAAGTGGAGACCGACTCAGGGTGGGCACGCACGCACACGCACACCATACTCGTCTTGCTTATTGCTGATTGATCGTGAGAACAAGCTTTTCTCCATTTCACATCATTATTAATCATAATAACTACATTTTACTGTCCTCATTTTTTGGATGCATTTAAAAACAAGAAATGCTATTTTGTCTGTGTCGTTGCAGGAGGGTGCGAGCATCAACAAGTCCTTGCTTACCCTTGGAAAGGTCATCTCCGCCCTGTCGGAACAAGCGCTGACGAGCAAGAAGGTCTTCACACCGTACAGAGAGTCCGTGCTGACGTGGTGAGAGATCAGAGTGCACGCGTAGTAGTTTTTAAATCTATTTTCTCCACCTACAGCAGTTAAGCAGATCTCATTTCCAAATTAGAAGGATGATCCTGACCAACGTGCATTTTTTTCCTCTTCCGCAGGCTGTTGAAAGAGAGCCTCGGTGGTAACTCCAAGACGGCCATGATCGCCACACTGAGCCCGGCGGGCAGCAACGTGGAGGAAAGCCTCAGCACCCTGCGCTACGCCCAGCAGGCCCGCACCATCATTAACGTGGCCAAAGTCAACGAGGACACCAGCGCCAAGCTCATCAGAGGTCAGCCACTCAAAACATCCACGTTCAAAACATCTCTGTTGGGCTTATGAGCTCTGACCTATTTTTATTTTGTAATAACTGCAATAAGCTTTTTAAACCCATTTTCTTTATACAGCATGTTTTCTCTGTCCATTGTGATCAGCCCCTCTTTGTTTCTGTCTCTGTAGGTTTCTCTTTCTTTCTATGTAAATATCTTTCTTTGTGTCTTGCTCTTGATCTCCTTCGCTCGCCCTAACCCGCAGGTCTGTCCATCAATCCATCACCAGCTTATGCACTCCCCAGTTCATCTGAGGCCTAACCTCGCCGCCGGGCCTTATTTATGCACTGTCAGCCACACACGGCAGCTAACTGTCATGCAAGGATTATTTTTCATGAGACGATTGTGCTGCTGTTTGACATTTTTAGCACTAAGGGGAGCTGTGTGTGTGTGTGTGTGTGTGTGTGTGTGTGTGTGTGTGTGTGTCAAACATTACAAATCAGGTCAGTGTTACTCAGTAAATAGTCTTCAATGAGTGACATTGTTTGGCTGTTCACTGACAAATTCAGATTATTATCTGTAGCCTGAAACACTTTCAGGACGTTAACGTCACTCCCTTGAATTTGACATTGACTGCTAATAATTTATGTGTGTATTTGCTCTAAACGGTTTGCCATATTTTATCTTTACAAATAATTTTGGACAAACTTTGCTGTGTTCAGAGCTGAAGGCGGAGGTGGAGAAGCTGCGGTCCGCCCAGATGAGCTCCCAGGGGGTCCAACCAGAGCGGGTCAGCTTGTTCCAGCAGGAGATCGCTGGCCTGAGGAACAAACTCTGTCAGCAAGAGAGAGAAATGGTCGAGGCCAACCGGTCGGTATCACTGCAACAATTATCAGAGCTCTTTTTGTCTCATTTATACTGTATGACGCAACAGACCCAGATGTGAGGTGTCTGCTGTTTGAGGAGGTCAAAGTAAACGCTGGAGCAGATTTCCACAGTTTAGAGAACCCAAGTAGCAAAGTGATGCTGCTTACATTTCTGTTAAATTGTATTTGCAGATATGTTTGCATGTATTTGTTCTGTTTTATTTTTTCTCATGCTGCGCAGTGTTGCATGTATTTTAACATCAACCACTTAAAATGTGAAAATGGAACGTTACTAACGTACAAAAAATACTTTCTTACTTGTTGTTGTGTATAGGTGAAATAAGCCTCATTCCAATATATATATTTTTTTTTTATTAAATTAAGTTAGTGAGAAGGATTCTAAGTTGTTGACGAGGGGATACATCTGATCGGATCATGGCATAATTTCCTTTCTTTATATTTGATCTTTTTTCTGGCAGGGCATGGAGAGAGAAACTGGAGCAGGCGGAAATACGCAAACGCGAAGAGACCAAAGAGTTGCAGGTCATTTTTTTTTCAACACTTTATTCATTTTCATTCTATATATATGTTTTACTGTCCGTCTTGTACATGCATACTTCTTCTTTTCTTGTGTCCACATACTAATAACAAGAAACGTTTCTCGTCGTTTTCAGAAAGCCGGTGCGACAGTCAAAGTGGACAATCGTCTCCCTAACCTGGTGAACCTGAACGAGGACCCGCAGCTGTCTGAGATGCTCCTCTACATGATCACAGAGGGTCGCACCACAGTGGGCAAGCTCAAGTCTGAGTCCAGGCATGACATCCAGCTGACTGGAGCCCTCATCGCTGACCAACACTGGTAAAAAAAAACAACAACAACGCTGGAAGGACATATTGTATGTTACCCCATCCATGCGGCACTGCAAGATTTAGTTTAATACTTAGTGTACAGTGTCTTTGACATTTAATTAATCCAGCCATCTTTTTAATCTAGCTATCACCCATCTTATTCTTTTTAGCATGCATTCAACATGCACATTTCATACATGCATTGTTTCGGTTTGTTTTAGTGTAATAATCAACACCCAGGGCACTGTCAGCATCACTCCCACGGACAATGCCAAGACATTCGTTAATGGAAGCCTCGTATCTGAATCCACCGTGCTACACCATGTAAGTAGATCAGAAAGCTCTCCTAACTCTTTATGCTGTGGAGCGACTCCTAGTAAGATGTGTGCAAAAACTCACCAGTTAAGTTCAATGTGACCAACCTGTTTATTAATGAATTCTTCTCATCTCTGTGTTGTTGCTTTGCAGGGCGACAGGGTGATTCTTGGTGGAGACCACTACTTCCGCTTCAATCATCCAGCAGAGGTGCAGTCTGGGAAGCGGGTGTCGTGCTGGACAGATGCAGGCGATGGCCACAAGGACTTTGAATTCGCCAAAAATGAGCTACTCGCGGCTCAAAGAGCTCAGTGAGTGCAAAAGACTAGATAAGAAAAAAAATCCCCAAACCATTATACCAGCTAAATCTAATAATATCAAAATCACAACTCCTCTTAAGCCGTCTTTGTGTCTCCCAGGCTGGAGGCAGAAATTGAAGAAGCCCATTTGAAGGCGAAAGAGGAGATGATTCAGGGAATCCAGGTGGCAAAAGAAGTGGCCCAGAAAGAGCTCTGTGACCAGAAGCTGCTTTACGAGGACCGGATCAGAGCCCTGGAGAGAGAGCTGGTACACAACACCTTCAAGTCTGGTTTTCTACTCAACAGATGTAACACTCCACTTTCCACTCGTACTGAATTGTTAGTGTTGTGACATTCTGCACTGCTGTTAAAGTCGTTAGAAGTTAATTTGCTTAACGGTGTTACAGAAGTGACAAAATAAGTATGTTGTTTTAAACTTTGTGTACTATATTGCAGAATAATCGAATAGCTCTTGTCATGTATAATCTATCACCCCGTCAATATGTTCAACCATCACTTAATGATCACAAAATATGATTCTTCAGAACGAGGAGACTGAGCGGAAGCGTCGACAGGAGCTGGACCAGCAGAGGGTGGCCAGCCAGATGGCGGATCTGAAGAATGCCAACCTGGAGCTGGAGCAGGAGGTGGACACCCACAAGAAACGAGTCCACCTGCACATGGAGGCCCGGGTCAGGACCAGAACACTCTTCTCACCTTTTAATGAAGTTCACTATTTTAGGTTCCTTTCATTTTTTTTTTGCTGGAAAGGTTTTGTTCTGTCAAAAAAAAAAGGAAAATGGAAAATGATTCCCACACACACATTTTTCTACTTCGCTCATCACGCTTTCAATGTCTATTAGCCGTGGCAAAATGTTTTGAATATGAATAATGTCACAGGTCTGCCCTTTTGCTTTCACACTGATGACCTAATCCCCTTTTTCACCTGAAAGAGATGGTGTAAGTTCAGACCACTTGATCTACAGTGAGTGATACAGAGTAGTGGTTGGCAGTATGACATTTTAAACGGATCTCATTTCAGTTTTTCTACATTTTTCCCTTTTCAGAAATCAGTTTAGTGGAAATCTGGATTATTTCTGTCGCCATAAATTACATCAATTCCTTCATTTGCTCGTTCTCGTGTTTTCTGGTGATCTTAAAACAGCTTCAGAAGCTTAAAGAATATGCTGACACCAGGTTTTATGTTTATCTGATGGGCTTTGTTGGGGTGTGTTTTGAGTCATGGTGGAGCTTGACTTTCGGCATGATGTCTTGGTCTGGTGCTTTTTAATATTGTGTACATTACAATGCTTCACTCCAGGCGATGGAGGAACACCGCGTGTGTCAAGCGAAGATTGTCGACGCCCTGGAGGCCGAGAAGCGAAAGATCAGCACAGAGCTCGAGGAGATGCAGAAGAGAAGAGCCTTGAGGGAAAACCACACTCTCCGAAATGGTGAGAGCTTTCTATCACTTCTGAGCACAAACTGGAGCTCGGACCCACACTGACAGTTCACACCATATGCGTTCAGTTCCACATGGGTGGGCTTGTTCCTTTAAACCAGAGACATGAGAGCGGAGAGAGTTTGCCAGGACCCCCTATAAACACTGGAGGAGGAGGCAGAGAGGCCATAGAACATATCTATTTCAGCCAGATGCTCTTGGTTGTGGTGAGGTCAACATGTTTCACTTCTGTATTTCAGTCTCTCCACAATGGGATGCCATGAAGTTGTCCCTGATGATTGAGGAAGCTAATAAGATCGGTGCTAAACTGAAGAAAAGCACAGTCTTCAGCAGGTAGGACAATGCAAGAATCGGGCCACAGTTTACACATGATATGAGTTTATTAGACAGGTTACAAACCCATCAAGATGTCACCAGCAGGTATCATGGTCATTTATCTGTGCCCAAATAAGTTGACTCTTTTCTGTTGTAGACACGAAAGCTCTGGAAATGAGAACCTGGAGCAGGGTGGTCTGCTACAGGTGCGGGTTCAAAACAAAAAGCTGGGGATCTCCACTTTCTGGAGCCTGGACAAGTTCCAAAACAACATCGCTGCCATGAGGGAACTCGACCAGGTCTGCCTCATATCTGTTTTTCAAGTTAATGAGCATAAAGAAGAACGTCTGAAGAATCTGAAACCTGACTAAATATACGTTTCCTCTGATTAAAGGGGTATTTAAATGAACATTGGAGTAAACAACAAATTGTAAATGAACATACTCTTGTTGCATCGACTCAAGCTACCTCTAATTTTTGGTAATAAGTGATGCACATAGTATATGGCTGGATTGATCCTTAAGACAGTTTTTATTGAATTTGATGATGTAATACAATCATAAACATATTCATACCCTTCAAGTTCTGATAATGAATAATCTCATGATCAGCTGATAAACAAGTCCCAGCAAAATGCTTGAAGATTGGCAGGAAGCGTATTCGATCTGATCAGTACCCTATTACTCTGACGTACGAGGCCTGTTGAGTCCCGCGTACTGCATGTGACATCAGCTCAAGTGCCGATTTCCCGTGTCAGCAATAGTTTACTCTCCGCAGGGGGACTCCACCTCTAAAGATGACGATGTCTTTTATGACCCTGATGATGAGTGGGAGCAAGATATATCGGCCTCCTCTGCTTCCACCTCCTCCTTCTCACGCCGAAGGTAATTATCCAGCTCTCTCTCCCCCCCCCCCCCTTCTTATCCATCAATCCCTCCTTCCAGCACATCACCTGTACATTTACATTAGATATCGTGTTAGTATTCTTGTCCAATTACTTGACATGTGTAAGTAGGCAAGTGTTCAAACCACCTGGGAGGGGGGCGTACAGGACTGCGTCTCTGAGAGTGTTTGCAGTGCCAGGGTTTGGAGAGACAACACTGTAGCCTGACATCGTGTGGGTCTTAAACCCACAGCCCTCCAACTGAACTCACAACTTCTTTTAATGTGAACAATGTGTCCGGCAACATGGATGAACTGTATATGGAAAGTTGAACGGGATGTGGATGGAACACGGAAAATCATTTTTGTCACTGTTTGGATGATTTTGATTATTTTCACAAAGTCCTCCTTGTTTCCACCAATGTGAATGTACAAGCTGGCACATCTTTTTGACCGTCAACACATCTTTCTTTCTCTCGTGAAAAGTTGACGTGAAGTCTCTGCCCACGGAATATTTCCGTCATTATTACTTTCCCTCAGTTTATTAATTTCATTTCCATGAAGGCAGGCCAAGGGAAAGGGTCCCTGTGTGTTTCTCACTCGCACACCTGTGCTGCAAGCAGAACCCCGGACATTTTCCCCTCGCATTGTTGTTATTCTTGTCAAGTATGTTTACGGGACTCCTGGTGGAGCCTGCACTACTAACAGACCCGGCCAAATGACACATGGCACAGGCTGGGAGGCTGCCTCCATTAAACCCATGCCTGATCCTTATGGCCACAGTCGTAGCTGTTTACTGGCCTTCCCTCCTCTAGGTCGTTCAGTAATGAGAACATGTTCTCCTGCTGAACTCAATCAACCCCACACGAGATAACCATGCATCCTTGCAAAGATAACACCAAGCCTGTGTGTAAATGTGCACGTTCCACACCATATCATCTTAAATGGAAAATTTGCCACCTTTTTTATGTGGATTTCCAATCGTTGCTGATGGAAAATGTAGTCCACTGAAGACACGAATCCCCTAGTGCGTGCTATATTGGCGGGGGAAAGATGATTTTTCCTGCTGCAGAGCTGTGCCGGCTGTGTCTACATGTACCAGGATGCATTGCCCGCCAAGTTTGCTACATTTAGTGAAGAAGCTAAATAAACTCAAGGAATTATTCTTACACTTAAACAGAAAAATACAACCTTACACTTCCTGGAACCGGCTCCACCGGTCAGCTCAGATTCTAGAGGCTCCCCGCCGACCAGATCCTCCCCGCTGCGGCTGCAGCCTCTCTACAGCTGAATATCCGAGTCAGCCAAAACACGGTCAAATCTACTCCTTAAAAAGAAAAAGAACAATAGATTTTGCAGCTGCGCACGGCTGAACTGCTAATTTAAATTTAAATTAAAAAACATTTGAGCTCTATTCACTAGAGTTTGCTCCTCAAGTGAATATAGCTTCTTTTTTTTCTTTTTCTTTTTTTTTATCTCCTATTTAATAGAACCAGTAGCACGAAGCAGGTTAGAACATCCTCATTATGAAACACTGAAACAATCTGATGTTTCGCTTAGTGGCATCACGTCCACTTGGGAAAAGGTGTATTAGGGGTGAATGTAGTCTATCTCCAATCCCCCCCCATTACAATGTCAGCATAAAAACATGGCACTCTGCTCCAGTAAGGAAATCTACACAAATAAAAAAATATGACCGGCTGTGCAGAGAGTAACAGACTTCAACAGTGGTTCATTTCACCTACATTGTGTAAAATAGTGTTTGCACTCAATGTTGTAAGAGTAAAATGTTGGTGTGTTCTCAAATGCTAAATACACTGAAGCTCCGAGTCATTCTGAATGAGGGCATCAACATGCCTACTATTTCTAAATTCTAATGGTAAGGAACTCGGGGTTTTGCTTCTGGTTTGTTTGGCATCAGGAGCAGGAGCTTGTTGAAAAGTAGGAGAATCTCAGGGCGTCTCTACGAGATCCGGGTCCATCCCATTCAGAGCCTCCACAACGGCTCCTCACAGTCTGCTGGTAAGGCACTGAACACAATCTGTGACACTTCGTTGTAAGAATGAGGTCTAGTGAAGTCCGGTCTGCACACCCCAACTCGTCGGTGTGTCTTTGTCCCAGGGTTGATGGGTGTGGCCAAACCGCCCTCCATCCATTCCAGCAGCACAGACTCTGCCCTGCCTGGCATCTGCAAGGAGCTGATTGGTCAGTCGGTGGCCCGTCTGAGAGGTTGCAGTGGGACAGAAGAGAGCATGGCAGACAGGCTGGCTTCTGATCTACACCTGATGTATGTGGCGGTCCAAACCATATCGGACATATACGACAGTCTGGACGATGACAGCCAAGAGAATGGTGAGATTCAACCGTTTATGAGCTTCAAACATCAAGCAAAATAGTTCATGCTTTTGGGATTTTATGCCAATTCTAGGTGAACAACATTTGCATTAAAGCTTTTTCCTGCTGCAGTGTTTCTGTGTAACTCGGTGGCTCAGACTCAACTGGTGAAGGCCACCACAGCCGTAGAGAGCACGGTGTTCGTCACCATGCAGTGGTTGGCCAGCGTTAGACCCTCCTCCGGCCGGCTCTACAACATCGCTGAGGAACTCAAGAGCCAAGTCAAGAAGATGGGAGGATTCTTCCAGCTGCTCATTCAGGTAAACACTAAATATATACAACACTACATTAAAGGCATTTGCAGTATACAAAAATTAGTTGAAAGGAGCGCAAATCTGAGCTGAAAAATGGCTTTCTATTCGGTGTAATTTGGACACGGGATGGCTAATTGTGAATGTAGAGCGTTAATTGACTTTTCTTAGCTCAGAGCTGTTTAACATTTCCATAGATGGAGCTCAAAGTGGAGGGAATTCTCAGCCTTGAGCCCCAAATTGAACATGAATATATGGAAAATAAATCAAAATTCCTTAAACCCTAAACACAATTTCCCTCTCTCTCTCCTTATTTTGTTTTTTAATTCTCTAGGCTTTCATTTATTTACCGACCCTTCAGACTATGTCGACCATGACATTGTCTATGTTGTTGACTTGCTTGCATTGGTTTGTTTGTGCTGACCTGATGTTGGCCGATAATGGGAACGTTTCACCCACCCAGGGTTGTGAATCTGAGATCACGTCGATGGTGACGGAGGCACGGAGGAAGAGCAGCCAGTGTCTGGACGCAGCATTGCTTGCACTTGGCCATCTGGCGGCAGTAACGGGCATGCCGCTGAACGCTATGGAGCGGGGAGCCCAGGCCACAGGCAAGGTAAGCCCACCATTAACACCGCAGCAGCTACTGTCTCTGTCAGAGCTCTGGGGTCCAATGGTTGATTTGTTGATGTGCAAATGTTCATGTTCAGTCTGTTAAAGGTGCACAGCATTTAGGGGTGAAAAGACATAAGATGTATTCTGTTTTGTTGAGTTTTATTCACATGGTGATTAGCATATATTATACACATTATTGTAGATAACAAAGAAAGTCTGCCAGAAACTCACCTAATTAGCGAGACCTTGCATCTTGTAACTTTTGGTGAAGGACTAGGAAAGTGTTCTCAAAAAATCTGATGATAAAAATCTGATTTATGTTTATTATATGGTTACATCTTTTCAGCAATCATTTGTCATGTGTCTGGTGAGCGGGACCAACATGGGCGTCGGCTCTCTCTTGGAGGAAAGCCTCTTCATCACCAGAGAAATGCTGAGAGAGGCTCAGCTGGCCTACCCCAGGAACCCAGTAAGAGATCAAAACCGGACTTCTTCTTTAAAGTTTTCATGGTTACATAATTAGATTTTGTGTTGATAGTTTAATTTCCATAGAGGTGTAGGTAAGTATTCCTAAAATGAGCTTACATCATTGTTAACCCATCTCTGCTTACAGGTCCTGCAGAGCCTAAAATCGAAGGCGCTTGACTTAGCCCGTGCTCTACAGAACTACATGCGTTGCCATATCACGGTGAGTTTCAGCAGCACAGCCATCTTCAGACTAGATAAGATTGGGGGGGGAGGGCCTCTAATTTCTGCTCATCTTTTTTTCGTCTTAATTTCCTGGTGCCAACATGTGAATCTCATAAATTGCAAAACCAATGGAAACAGACTACTGTGTTGTATTGCGACATTCATTTTGATGTGTGACATGATGGAGCTGGAGTGTGAGAGACATAATTCTTCCACCGGTCCAAATGAATCATTAACTTGTAAACTTAAACTATAATTTAATTGTAAATACAAATTCTGAACTTTGGCATTAAAAATGGTCAAAATGTATGCATTTGCTACATGCCATTGGCTCTGGGCTGTCTCTGGTATTTGTCTGGGTAAACTGTGGCTGAAAGACAGACTTCATGCTCAGCAAAGCTTGCCTGGATATATAACGGTTAAAACAATCTTCCGTCCTGACACGGGCTTAAATGTTACAGATTAATGGCCGCACACACAGCAGCCCTGTTAAAGATGCCACTCAGCCTTTATTGTTCCTGTACAGCTCAATGCTCTGTAGGCTTATCTCTCTGCAGTTGCCCGTTGACGATCGTTCAGGTAATGAATGTGTTGAATGAAGTGGCATCAGTCACAGCTAACGGGCTTGTTTGCCGTTATCTTAGCCACACAAAGTAGCAGTTTTTTTTTTTGTTAAAACCAGTCATTGACACATATAGGCGCAGGGGCATTTCGCCACCCACAATGTTACTGTAGTCAAATAAACCTGAGTTATAGTCTAGACTCTAGAGCAAGACATTCAACACAGCACTGCACATCTGCATAATCATGGATGTAAATGCATCTGGTATAATTCTAGTCCTTCAGAAAGAGGCAATTCTAGTGTTGGTATAAATGGTGAGAAAGTAGCCTTTTCAAAGAGTACACGAATGTGTATGATATTTTATTTTAAAAATAACACAAACATTTGTTAAACCTTACATTTGATAATTAAACACAGGATTTTCTATTTCCTATTTTCAGTAGTTAAAGCTGTTAAAAGAAGCTTTTTTTTTCTCCATTTTCTTCTACACTGTAGTGAACGAGGTCGTTGGGTTTATGTCATTGAAAAGAACACATTACCATGGAAGCCCCATTAATTTAACGACGTCATTAGTCAGTGACATCATTTGCAGCTGTGGGTGTGTGTGCGCGTGTGTGTGCGCGCGCGCGTGCGTGCGCGAGCGAGATTCTTGATGTGCCGTTGGGCTAACTGCTGAATTGAAACTTACAACTAAAAGATCCCTGCTTAGAATATCAAGACCAGTTGTGAACGTGTTAATCTCTACAATAAAGGTTCTGCTTTCATAGACAGTGGGGCTATGAGATCTTTTTTTTTTGAGTTGAGCTCAGTTGTGAACAATTGAGTAAGTATTTGTTTTAATGAATTGTACACTGTATTGTCCAATCGTATGCCTTTTCTTGTATGCGTGTGTGTTTTTGGTGACGTAATTGTTGGTTGCGTTACATTGCGTCCTGTTTATTTTCCCCGTCTTGTATTCATTATTTGGGCGTGTTCATGTTTTCAAACAGAAGAGAGACGAGGGGAAGGGGGAGGAGGGGGAGGCCTCAGCTTCCCATTCGCAGAGACTGAGGACTACAGCGACCAAGCTGTTCCAGCTGAACCAGGCCATTCGACAGCTGCATTCCTGTCTGTCTACTGCTCTGCGAGGTGACTCCTCTGACATACACACAGCCTGGCATGTTAAGCTAAAGCTCTTATCCAGTGCAACTTACATTGTACAGCATCAGTATGCATCCATTGGTCAAAAGCACCAGAAGAAACAGTTTGTCCAAAGACAATCGTCTTTGCTTTTTGACCGTCACTATTTTAATTCATAAAGATGATTTTCTGAAAGGCTAGTTACTGTACAAAGAGGCGATTTCAGGAAAAGCTGAAAATGTATTATTTATGTACTAACTTTACTTAGGAACTACTAAATACTTTCAATGTTTTGTCAGTGCGTATAATGAACTGTTGTGCTGTGACAGGCGTGTCTCAGCCAATCAGATCTTATTTTGTTTTTATATTATGGCATAGCGTTCTGATTCATGTGTCTTTAAACCACAGTCTGTGTGATTTGTTCATTATCATTGCAATAATATCTGGAGCTTTGATGCTGGCAGCATGAACAAAACCACCCACAGCCAAAATGAACCAGATTCTTGTTGAAGGTGTCATTTCCTGTGTCTGACTCTTCATCCTCCTTCCAGGAAAAGACACCGACTCCCACTTCAGCCACTCCAGAGAGCTGATCTCCTCCTCTGCCAAAGCTGTTGATGAGCTAATCACCGGTCTGTCCGAGGAAGAAGCGTTGACGCCGTCCCTGCAGCTTCCCCTTCTTCAGAGTGTCATGGCTGCTCGAGACGAGCTTCATTTTGCCCTCCGGTCCCTGTCCTCCTGGAGCCAACAGGTTGCAGGAGAGAACAGAAGCTCTGCTGCTTCTGATAAAGGCACAGAGGATGAAATATTGAACAAAGACACTCACGGTGCCGTTAGAAATCGAGTCGTGAGCAAGATAGTGTTCTCTCTCGCTCCAGGTGTGTCGTCCAAAGGCAGCCCGCACTGGGTATGATTTATGTGTTATTGTTTACGATGTGCTCCTATCATGTATGATTTACTGTATCAATGAAATTCTGATATAGAGAAAACTTCCGCTAGTAACAACAAATGGGTCGTGGGTATTGTTTTTTTGTACACTCCCGTATCACCAGCCTGGAATCTCAAGCAACAAACACTGTTACAAAACAACAATGCTGCTTTCTAAATGTGAGCAATATCTGCATATGTTTTTCAGGCAGTTTTTACAATGACAAAGCAAACAAATGAATTGATGTGGAGGCTTTAAACTACAGCAATAATTCCTATCATAAATAGCATTGCTGTCAAGATGTGCTGTAGCTTCCTTTTTTTTATTCTAGTGATAGTTTGCTCCGCAGAGCTTTAAAGTCTTGGGACAAAGCCTTCAGTCACCAGAAGGTGTCGACTTTACTTTACCTGACTTCATGGTGGATAAACACAGTTAGGAACAGTAATGGTTTACTCGTGCTTTACTAGGCCTTCTCTGTTGTACTGTGTTTTTTTCAAAGGTCACTAAATTATCTTTTGCAACAGTTTCTCTTAATTCAAACATGCAAGATTTCAATATCCAGCAGCTCAGGTAGTGTTTTGTAAATAAATGACACCAGGTTTTCTCCCCATGCTATGCTGTAAATGATTTCTTTCTTGTATGCATATTTTGTTCCTCTATTTACAGAAACTTGCACTTATATGTCTTGTATTACACACTGCAACTACTTGCACTCAGGAGAGAATCGTACATGTAGGTACTTCAACAAAGCAGTGTTTTTTATGTCCTTGTATCACTTGATATGTCAACATGATACAGCAACCTGTACTAATGCAATAAAGTCACGTGGATTTTACAAGGACTCTATTCTTTTATATTGCATGTCATTCAGTAAACAGTGGACTCCTGTTAAAGACAGTTTAATGATTTTTATTGGTTTTGAATTGGCACTGGGAAACTGCAAAACATTCATATACACTTAACTGGGTTACCTTGTAGTGAATTAAGCAGTGACTGTCCACAGAGGTACACATTGACATCTAAATTATAATTATTTATTTGGAATTCACACCTGAAAAGATAAGCGTCTGTCTTTGTTGGTATGGGCGATGGAACCTCACAATGAACACTGTTTTCATTTATAGGGAGTTAAATTCGCATACTTGTAGTATTATCATTAAGGGTGGGGGACTGCCTGGGGGCCCCTGTATCCTATTCTGGGAACTACTCCATCAGACTAAAGGATCCCAAACTTTTACATCATGAACTCCTAGTTGATAAACTTTAGGCCGCAACCCTTAACTTGATTAATGGATTTATATTTATTTGTGTATTATGTCATTGAGCTTAACTAGAGGCCCTGGAACCCACCCGAGGGCCCCCTGTAGGTCCCTGACCCCTACTTTTGGTAACCCTCTGCTGTGCTCGCTGCAGGTTACACCCACTCCTCCTCGCTGCAGCTTCCTCTGCATCCTCCCTCCATGCACTCCGGACTCAGCTACCGCCAGGGTTCCCTCTGTAATATAAAGACGGGCTGATGGATCACAGCTGAGAAGAGAACATCATTTACCTTTACAGCTAACCTGTGTGGAATTAAACGGAAAAACGGCGTAGCTTTAGTGGTTGAATGCTGCGTTCACAGACACGACGCGATTGGAATGAAAAGACGCGCAAAAAAGTTTCTACCAAGACGACTAATTGAGGTAACAAATCGATTCGTTTTGCTTTTTATGTGTGGCAAATGGGCTTATAATAATTCCGAGTACGATCAAGTACCATTATAATCTCAGCTAATAAACATGTTTTTTTCTCAGGATGCTCAGGTTATTGTTCCTAAACATAGCCTTGCTGGTAAGCACTTCATCTTTGTATTTACCTTTTCACTCCTGTGGGATATTTTAGACAAACACGTGTCGACTTTTAAGCAGGTAACGGAGGCTATATGAGTTGTGCAAACATCCCAATAACTTACATTTTACTAGCTCATATTTCTCTGGCAGACATTAGGCAGAGAATGCAATAAGGCTCGTGTGAAATGGTTGTTTTCTAAACAAGCCTTATTGGATAAAGTAAAGAAAGCCATAATAATCTTAAAATACTATGAATTTCACGTCGTTAAAGTTTTTTTCTCTCCTGTATTGTTATTATATTTGTGGATGTGTAAATAATCCCCGTACTAGAGTTATTATTTTATTTATGGGTTAAATGCCTAGATTATCCAGGCCAGGGATTATACCTTTAAAGAAAATACTGCTTTTGATTGGCTATAAAGTCAATTACAATGATCATTCAGGGCAGTCAGCGTTCTTAGCAGTGAAATAAACATTGTCTTTGATGCTACAGGTGTGTGTATATATATATATATATATATATATATATATATATATATATATATAT